TTTATTTTGATTAAAATGCAAAAATTGTTTATTTTTGAGTGTAAAATATTTTCGCCAGTTTCAAACCCTATTACCGCCTTCACATAATGCACACCCTCATTGCTCCCCTTTGCACAAACATGACTGGAATGCCCTGACGCACTACCACACATATATGCACAAACAGTGATCCTTAAAATGCACATACAAACTAGACAAAATGCACCATCCATAAACCGCACACACCGTGACCCTTGAAACGCACAAAACAACCAGTCCATTATGCACAGTCCAAACAGATACACATACAACGTGATTCTGAAATGCACACCCCACCCCAACAATACAACATTTAGACAATCCAAAATAATTTCCAATGTATAAACACATTAAACGCCAACCGCGTTAGGGAACCCAGCAATTGATGAAACCACTGCAAGTGAAAATGAAGAACGTGCAAGAGAGATACATAATGTGATACGTAGAACGTAACCGGTAAAAGGGAACCCAAGAAAACACTCATAGTCTTCATAAAATAAAACTCCTAAAATCATGCAAATATCCCATAGGAAAAAAAAAAATAAGTCAAAATAAATGGCACACAAAATTATAATCTCACCCCCCATAAATAAGAAAGAATAAAAATAGGAAAAATTCCCACCATCAACTCAAAATGGATTAAAAGAACAATATGAGTTCTTATAGACTCATGGGAAACATAGTTCTTATGTGATTTTAATTATATATATACTAATTATCATTATTATATCAAAAGATTGAAGTAGTTTAAGTGGTAAAATTATTCGTTATTAATCATGAGGTCAATGATTTAAATTTCATCTCAAACAAAAAAAATAATTTATATAAAAATAATAATTATGGGCCTAGCCCGGGACGGGATGAGCCCAAGTTATTCTGGGCCGTTCATGATCATTGCTAACTTGGGCTCAGGCCCGACTGAGTTTGACATGAGACCGGCACAAGTCTGAAATTTGGCCACCTCTAAATTAAGGTGTAGGGATCCTGGGAGCGAGGAATTTTGCTAGTGAAGCATGCAACTGACATTGGCAATCTTTAGGCCCAAAGACTCAATATCCGAAAGCATAAAAAATACCAGTCGTTATATCGTGCACCAGGGCGCACAATGCATTGTGCGCCCCGCCCTACCCAATACGACGTCGTTTTGATGCATTGTCAAAAAAAAAATCCTATGTTTCGAATACACATAAACTCATAACAGAATACACAGAAACTCATAACTGAATACACATAATCTAACATGATACATAATACACAGAAACTCTTAACTGAATACACAGAAACTCTTAACTGAATACACATAAACTCATAACATAATACACAAAAACTTTTAACTGAATACACATAATATAGTTTGGGCCGTTTGGACGGACAAAGTGACGTCAGCAATCTAAACGCGTGCGTTTTGTGCCTAGACGCATATTGCTATGTGCGCCGTGGTGCACGATATAAATCAATCGTTATATCCTACACCACGGTGCACATAGCATTGTGCGCCGCGCGCCTCCCAAAACGACGTCGTTTTGGGGTAGTGTTGGGAGGCGCGGTAGGAAGTTGCTGAGATTATGTGTATTTGTTCACAACGTTATGTGTATTTGTTCACAACGTTATGTGTATTGGTTCATACAGTTATGTGTATTTTTTATACAATTATGTACATTCTTTTTATACAATTATGTACATCCGAATCAGAAAATTTGTGTGTATTATGTTAATAGTTGATGTGTATTATGTTAAAAGTTTATGTTTATTATGTATTATGTTAGATTATGTGTATTATCTTTTAAAAAGAGTATGTATATTTTGTTATATAATTATGTACATTCATGTATAACATTATGTGTATTCTAGTATAACATTATGTACATTCTTGAACAGCGGGTTTTTTTTAAAGAAAAAACTACTGCCATTCACTGGGACGGAAAATTTCAAAAAAAAAAATAATTAAAACGACGTCGTTTTGCATCTGGGCGCATAGTGCAACGCGCGCCGTGGTGTAGGATATAAATTGCCGATATAAATTGCCAAAAAGTACTGAGGCCCAATTATCATTTGTGACCCAGATACTATACCGGAAAGCCCAATTATCATGTATAAATACCAAATGCGAGGGAAAATTTCATTAGATTAAGCACTTCACGGCAGGAAGAGCATTCCCTTCAGTCTTGTCATTTTCTTTTATTCTTCAAAGATTCATTCAATTCTTTGTATTTTTTTTTTTTTTTTTTGTCAAACTTACCCAATTACATTTCACATCAGCATTAGATGATTGTTTGATTTACTTTCTACTTTTTTCATCGTCCAATTATTATGGGATTACACTTGAAATTATGTTCAGATTCTTCTCTTAGAACGGCGAATCCGAAACGCCGCCGGCGAGAATTTTCTCTATTTCCATGCAAAAAACCTAGGAAAGATATTCTCAGTATAGCTTCTTTGCAGATAACACCGTTTGGTCTCCCTTTAATATCGAAAACTACCGGTACTTCCTGTGACTGTATGCTTCTCGAGCCCTATAAGCTCTACACTATTGGACGCAGTAATCAGTACTGCGACTTTTTGTTCTGTGAGCCTCGTGTTAGCAAAGTTCACTGCCAATTTTTCTTTGATTTGTTGAACAAGAAGATATATTTGTCTGATGGAGTGTTTTTGAGCTTTGGTGCAAACTGTAGTTCTAGGGTTAGGGCATCATTGAATGGAGTGTTTGTTAATGGGATTAGGATTGGAAAGGGAGAAGTTGTTGAAATTTGTGCAGGCGATGAGGTTTCGCTTGTTTGTGGGAAAGGAGATGGTTGTGCTACAGGAATTCAGATAGGATTTAGTGTGACAAAAGTAATGTATGCTGCAGAGATTGCTGACAGGCATGTTATTAATTGTAATGGAAGTGGTGTATACTCTGATTATGCTCTAGTTAGGTCTAAAAATGGTGGAGTTACTGCAAAAGCAAATATTTTGTTGAATATGTCTAGGGAAATATTGTCTTGTAATGACCCTATAAAATGTATTAGAAAATGTGTTATCCTTGATCATGACATGGGGGCTACTCATAAAGTTACAAAAGTTGCATCTCTGGTATTGCAAGAAAATGTTGAAGTTCCTCCAATGGGTGATGGAGCTGTGAGAAAAGATGTCTCACTTTGTGAGGGTCCAGAAGCTGGCCACAGTTTGGCGTGTGAATATTGTCAACAAACAGCTCAAACTTCTGAGAGAAATACCAAGTTCGAGTGCTGCAACAATGATCAAGAAATAAGAGAACAAATGGATAATACTGGAGTTGATCTTGAGAATGGCATTGTTGCTAATGATAAACATGGCGCTCTCTCTTTGGAGTGCATGGAGAAGGAGGCTGTTCCTCAGGTTGCAGGTGTTGGGCAAGAAAGGGAAGGGGTTCGTTTTGTTCCACCTCCAGGAAAGATGTTCTATTTGAATCAGCTTCACTGTATCAACCAAAGTTCATCAGAAAATGTTGTTTCATTGCCAGAGCTTCTCCATCCTGTTAACAGCATTGATAGGCTGTTTGTTGCAACATTCTCAAGTGATATTCTTTGGTAGGTAGAAAATTAACGTTCTCTTTTTTACATTTGCTTTTGTGCTCACATACTTCCCCTAGATAAACAAGGATTAACACAAAAAATGAAGAGGTATCTTGTTAGTTGAAATAAATATATTAATCTCGTGGGGGAAATGATATATTCAGGAGTTTCACCTCAATATGGATGTCCTTATTCATGGGTAATACTTTTTACTAAAGGGAATTTGCTATTTATATAGGTTTCTTTCATATTGTGAAATTCCACCCTATTTTCCCATCACTATTGCTTGCCACAGTGCTGAAAGGTGTTGGAGCTCGAGCCCTGATAAAAGGACCTCAATGCCTTACCCAGAATTTCCAAATTTGATAGTTGTGTAAGTTCTTTGATCTCTCTTCTCAAAAGGATCTTTGATTCTAATTTCTGTGTTCAGACGGTAGAGGTGAGAATAATTAATGCCTTTACCATAGTCAACCTATTACAACAGGTACCCTCCATTTCCTGAGGTTATAGCTTTTGGGAAAGACCGGAGGAAATCAGGTATTGGTTGTCATCATCCGAAGTTGTTTCTTGTGCAAAGAGAAGACAGCATTCGAGTTGTGATCACTTCAGCAAATTTGGTACCAAGACAGGTGAATGTTTATCCTTTGTGTTGTAAAATTGAGAACCTCACTTGATTTTTATTAGTGCAGTGTTACATTTTAGCAAATCATGGAAGGGTATAAGTAATAACTTAGGCAAAAGCTTGTTTCACAAACATAATGGACCTAGAGTGGTCCAAATATATTAAACTCAACATTGAATGCAAGACCCTGTAACATTCTTCAATTCCAAATAGCCTAGAAGTTCACATCTTTTGATTTTCTTCCATATTTGTCTTCTTTTCCCTCTTTTGTCTTCTAAGTGTAATTATTCAATATTCTCAATTTCTTATCTGTTTTGATCTCACTTGGATACTATATTGATGCTTTCTTACCATCTCAAACTCTGCAGTGGCATGGGGTGACCAATACAGTTTGGTGGCAGGATTTTCCACGCTTAAGTAGTCCAGACTATTTATCATTTTTCACCCAATTGCCTGAAGGAGGAGTTGATAAAGATTCAAGATCTGATTTCTCCACTCAGCTGGTTGGATTTATAGCATCTCTGCTAGCTGATGTACCAAGTCAGGCATACTGGATCCTTGAGTTAGCAAAGTATGACTTTAAGGGGGCTGTGGCATACCTGGTTACTTCCATACCTGGAGTTTACTCACATAGGAGTCCTTTATTTTCTGAACCGAGATATTTCTTAGCTGTGAGTATCTTTTGTCCTTTATGTATGCATGCAGTCATTGGCCAGAATGTTATAATTGTGCATCCCTTCTCCTCTGTTGCAGATTGACAGATGCATTTGTCTTAACGACTTTTAAGGAATAATTGGGAAGCATAGGAAAACAAAATATATGGCAAATAACTCTTCCATTGAAATTTAGTTCCTGGTGTGTTAAACTAGGTCCAAGGATAGTTTCTCCTGGCCTCCTGGCTCCTGCATAGAATTATGGACATACATTTAATAAATAATAATATATCACTATTAGGGAATGTTCTTCCGGTGAATGGCTTCATGCATTGTCACTTCAATTAGCAGATATTCTCTATTCTTCTTTTTCATTTATTTATTTATTTATGATTAAGAAGAATTGTAACAGAGTCAATAGTACTAAAAAAAAGAAGAAAGAATTGTGTGGCTGCCGGCACACCCTATTGGGTGAGTTTTCATATCTTTAGTATTATTTAAAAAAAAAATTCACAAAGATATTTCTGGTCCTTGAGTCTCATGTTTCATAGTACATTTTACATTTATACATTAATTAACTGCATGATATTTATAACCCTCTCCAAGGTCATCAGATACTCTTAGCCATACTTCTGGCTTTTTTGCTATATGCCCTCGGCCCTTCTGTAGTGCATGTGGCTGCTCATTATATTTTTTCCTACAGAAATTCCTTCTTAGTACAGGATTTTATATGGTAGACCTGTGGCTATGTCCTGCAGAGTTAATCTTTTCTTGTTTTGCTCCTTTTCTTAGGGTGGTCAGCCCATGCCATTGTCTCATCATGTAAAGTCGCTTGGTTCTGTTGAAGCATCTGTGGCTGGTCTAAGCTATATTTTCCGTACTTCGGCTGATTCAAATGGGGCAAGACTGAAGAAACTTGCTACCTTCCTTAGGAAGTGCAAAGAAAATATGTATGGGATGACAGAGGTTGTTCTAAGAAGGGATTCAAAGATACCAGCTGATGCAAATGCTGTTAGCATTCTTGTTCCAAACCCAGAAGAAGTTTTCATGGGAGGTAAAGTGCATTCCAGTATTCAACATATATGCGAATTTATGTAAACAATGTATAATGCTCTAAAGATTTAGAACTACAAGAATGTGAAAATTTCTCTTTGAAGTTCTTTGATATTCAGGCTTGGCATGATTTAGATTTCAATTCAAGTTTTCCAAGAAAATGTTCTTAACCCAATGAAATGTGCATGCCAGCTTTGATTTTGAAAGTGGTAGCATGGCCTTTGATTTTGTAATATTTATATTGCATAAACATTAAAATATCTAGATGTCTTTAGATATGTGAAATCTAGGTGCTTTTAAGCTGCAACTATTGCCCTTAAACATTGTAATAATTATGATGCAGATTGTGTTCAACTTGGGTTTCTTCCAAAAGATGTTGCAAAGTGGGTTGCTCCACTTTCAGATGTTGGCCTATTTTCATTTTCAGCATATATCTATCCAGAGGAGGTTCTTGGTGCAGCTTTAGAAGGAAGCAACAACAAAGTAAAACTGCTGCTCCATGTCTTTCAGGTATGCTTTTGGCAATGGAACCTGTTTTATTTGGATTATTTATTTATTTATCATAATGTTCATTTAATTTTACTGTGTGAATCACATGTATCTTATGTTGCCATGTGCAGGGTCCATCTTTTTCGTCTATCTCAAATATAACAAGCACTGAACATATTTCTGCAACATGTTCACTAGTTAGAGCTCTTCAGAGGCGTTTTGGTCTGTGGCGGCTCCATGAGGTAATTGTCTCTAAATTTTACAGTAGTTAAACTAATGCTTTCCTTGTGCAGTAATCATTATTTCCTCTGCTTTTGCCATTGTTCTTTTCTTTCTGCACCGTGTTTCCATCGTTTTCACCATACACATCTCTAAATAGGAATCTCAGCAGTAAGGTCATCTGAGAAATGTGTTTGTACTTTGTGTTGTGACTAATGAATTATTCAAGTTCTTGTTCCAATGACTTCATTTTTGGAGTTTCAGATTGCATGTGATTTACATCTCTTTTGTGTTGACTTCCCGGACAGCTTGCTGATAATTATGTGCTGCCACTGCTTTGTCTGATGAGCAAAATAAGAGTAGGGATGTGGATATAAGCTATTGCATATTTATAGTTCTTTCTGTTTCTCTAAATTCTTTTCCTCAGCTATATTATTAATTTATTATTATTATTATTATTATTATTATTATTATTATTATTCTTATTATTATTATAATATTATTATTGTTGTTGTTGTTGTTACTTAGTGTACTTGGTACCCAAAAGTTTGCTGTTTTTATACAAGTTTTCTGTAATTTTAAATAATGGATTTGTAGAGTTTGAAGTTTCGAATTTAATTTTTGTTTGGGTCAATGATTGTTTTTGTAAAAAAATTGTGTCCTAATAAAATTTTCTTTCCCTCTCTTGTTTACATAGGTCTTAGGTCAGTATAAATGGCCTGAACACACAGAAAATGATTTTGTATTTGGTGAGTCCGATTCCTTGTGCATTAATCTCAACCTAGATTGCAAGTCTTTTATCCCCTAGTTTTTGCCTTTTTCCTACTGAATTATACTCGGCTGCATATAATGTTTCACCATCTCTTTATTTTTAAGGTTCATCATCCATTGGATCTATCAATGCACAATTTCTAGCTGCTTTTTCAGCAGCAGCTGGAAAACGATCATTACGGTGTTCTGAGTCTGAGGAGTCTGATCCAGATGTAAGAATAAATGCTAGTAACTGATACGATCTATATTCCTTGATGCTATTTTGCTTGAATTGTGATGTTAAGAAGAAATGCTAGTAATTTACGATTTATATTCATTGAAGGTATTTAACTGGAATTGATTTGTTAATTTTGGTTCTTACAGTGGAGCTGCTGGAGTGCAAGTCAAGAAATAAGAAACCCATCTATTAGAGTTATTTTCCCTACTGCTGAAAGAGTGAAAAGTTCCAAAAGTGGAATCTTATCATCAAGACGTATCTTATGCTTCTCAGAGGTACAATTTATTATTCACTTTTATGTCCCTTGATCTTTTTGCCCAATGTGATAGACTGGTAGCATTAAAACTAATCTCCCTTCAAATAGTCTTTTATGTTTCCAACTAAAGATGAATACAGAAATAGTGTTATCATTGGTCATAAAAAAAAGGCTCCTTGTAGGCTTTTTAATGAGTGTCTGATGTCTTAGCAAGAATGAGCACATTTTTCCAGTTGGATTATTTAGTTCTGCTACATATTTGCCACACTGCCTCGATAATTTGATGGGGGACCTTTTGGGGGGTGGGGAGCAACATTCCATATACTACACACAAATCAGGAATTTGGTTAAACATAGGCAGAAATGGTTATGAATTATATATAAATGTTTACTCCGTATTTTTTTTTTACCACCCTGGTCCTTATTACATCCATTTTTCAAACTTATAAAATTTTTGATTTGGGACTGTTAATATATTTTTTTTTTCATAAAATGAAAGAATAGCTTGTTTAGGATTTCACTTGACCAGACAATTAGGATTTCGTTCGAAAAGTCAGAGACCAATGTGGGCCATTGTTGATAAACTTCATGAGGTGATATTTGGCTTTCTCATAATCGTTGGATACACTTCCAATTTGTTGACTAATATGAAAGTTATTTGCTTAGTGACTGGTGGAAATGGCATGATATGCAAGGGGGGGGGGGGGGGGGGGGGGGGGGGGGGTCGGGGTTGGGAGGGTTTAAATCAATGAAGAACCAAGTTATGGTTGGAGTGTGGACCAAAGTGGCCTTCTTAGTTAGTGAGATTAAGAGCTCGAGTGCTGAACTTCTGAATATAGTTCTCCCTGGATGACAATCATATTTCCAGTCAGCTGAATTGAAGTCGTAGATTTCAGTAGTACCATTTTGTAGGATTCTCTCACTTAATAAAAGTGAATGCTTTCTAATACTCTTCTTTCTTTTCTTTTTCTTTTCTATAGAAAACATGGCAAAGGTTGAAACCTGTGGGTATACTACATGATGCCATTCCTTGTCCCAGTCACAGAGATGGGATCCCTATGCACGTAAAGGTAAACGTTCTCATGACAATGCAAGTTTTCTATCTTGCCTCGAGTTTATTTTCCAATGGTTATTACATAATTCGCAAATGCCTATTCTTTATGCTTAAAATACTTCCTCTCATCTGCGTACTAATTCCTACCACATCCCCATAGAGACATGAATAAGAACTTTATGATCAAATGATCTTTGTCCTCTATGGTGCATAGGCCTGCTATGATTTAATATTCATTCTATTTATCACTTCTATTTTCATTTTAAATAAAAATGTTTTTAAAAAATGATTAAAAATTGAAATGCATGGTGTGAGCAGGTAGCCAGAAGAAGGTTTCAGTCTAAGGCTGATGTTCCTTCCTTTGGATGGGTTTACTGCGGATCACACAACTTCAGTGCAGCTGCATGGGGGCGTCCAATTTCTGGTCCACTAGACAGGAAAGCCAACAACAACATGAGAAGTAATTCTGTGTTGGGTTCACGACTTCACATTTGTAACTATGAAATTGGTGTTGTTTTCATTGTCCCCCCAACAGATACTGGGGATTATGCTAATAGCGAGGCCAAACTCTTGGATGATATTGCCTTGCCCTTTCTTGTACCTGCTCCGAAGTATAAACCCACCGATTGGCCAGCTACACCACGAGCTATGAAGGAGGCACTGGCTGAACTTAGTGAGCGAGAGAAACATATTCTCGAGTCGGCAGCAATTTCCGGAGAGTGGATGGAGGAGGAGATTCCAGATGAAAACGACGAAATTTTGGAGGATACTGCATATGTTGCAGCAGAAAAGGAAGATGAGAAGGCTTATGCAGATAGACTGTGGTGCCAAGTTGATTCTTTGCAGTGTCGTTAAAATCTTGTAGGGACCACTTCTGGCCATGCAGTGTCGTTAAAATCTTGTAGGGACCACTTCTGGCCATAATCAAATATGCACAAGGAGGAAACTGCATGTCTGCCGACTGCTGAGGATGTTTCTTACTACATCGTACTGAAGAGGGTAAAAGTCACTCAAGGAACAAAAGGCAGGAAAATGGGAAGACAACTTGGAAGCGATGAATTTGGTTGTAAGTAAAAGGTACGTTTTGTTTTCATTATTCCATTGACTTATAATGTGAACACTCAATTGCGTGGATAGTTTTTGCTTCGTGTTCAGTGTGATGGATTGCACATGGGGTGTTCAGCTCACCACATCACTTGCACACTTTCTTACGTTAAATATTCAAATAACTTAGTCTAACAAGCAATGATACATCCTAACGGAATTACTTAACACCTTTGCTCATTTGCCGAAAGAGTGGATGTAGGATATTATGAGTTATGACAGAGTTCAACTGACTTTAATATGCTTGTGCAATATAGCTCTATAGAGACTTGACGATACTTTTATTTTGAAATGTCAAAATTTTCTTCTATTGTTGAATGCCTCCATTTGTATTTTTATGATTGGTTGATTTTATTGACTAATTAAGGGTGCGTTTTGGGTTTCCGTGTTTGGCTAGAGGGAGCAAATGGAAGTCAATTTAAAATAGGAGTGTGATCAATAAAAAATAGAGGGGATTTTCTAGAAATTGACTTTTCTTCTTTTTTTTTTTTTTTTTTTTTTTTTTTTTTTTTTGGAAGTTATTTTCCATTTGGAGATACTTGACCCCACCACCACCATCATTGTATATTTTAAATATTTAAAATAGAAATAATTATGCTCATTTTCTAGAAAATGAATTAAACACACCAAGACAGTTTTCTGGAATGCAACTGTTAGCATTGAAAATTTAAATAATATTGTTGGACTGTGGTGGATAATTGATTGTTAAATTAATTACTTTAATTAGGTTAATTGGATTAATATTTATTTAATTGGGTTAATTAAATGACCCATTAAATATTTAATTGGTTTAATTACTTAATTAAGAATAATTGGGGCAAATTATTGTGTGGACTGTTATGTGGACCATAACAAAAAGTACATGTTTAATATACTAAATGTACATTATTTTTGTACTGAATGTACATTATACAATATAATGTACACTCAGAACAAAAATAATGTACATCCCCTGAATACAATGTACATTATTTTTGTACTGAATGTACATTATTTTACAGTAGACAAAATATGGTTCACACAACTTGTGTGGACCAATAATGATTGAGTAATTGGATGTTGGATTATTTGGCCTAAGATGATGGAATATTTAATAGAGTTGGATTAGCCTATTTGGATCAATTTGGCTACTTAAATTGACAGGTTTGACTTGGCACAGTGGGACAACTCTGCCTCTCATCTCTCTACTACTAGTATACCTCTACTTGCGTATCCAATGGCATCGAACAATCCCATGTTCAGGAGGACCTACGCCCAAGCTACCAAGTCCAAGTCTACGCCTGTAGCTGGCTCTGGCACTACTCAGCAAATGCAAGGCTAACTGACTAGGAACCGCGCAAAGAGTTCGGGGGTCCAATTACTTGAACCTCAGTCCATGGCACGACGAGTGGTTCAAAGGCTTGACAATGCCCCTACCGCCTCAAAGGCAACCACTTTCGCTGGAAGTCCACCCTCTCTTAAGGGAGCTATTGATGGTGGTAGTCCAACTTCTATGCAAGAGAACGCCAGTAGCGAGAGCACTTCCTCCGTGTCTGCGCTACATCCATTATGGAAAGCTGCACCTTAGTGGTTGCATGTCTACAATGTCATGTCTTGTCATGACGACAAACACAGAATCTATGGAGGAGTAATTAGCTAGAATTGCTAAGTGTCTAGAAGGAATGGCTGTCGCCCTCCAAAATCAAGAGAAACGGCTTAACACCCTCGATGATAGGGTAGGAAGCATCATGGAGGGACAAGGAAGTCGTGCTCCAGGAAAGCAACCTGAGGGGCAATAGAGGTTGCTCAGCTATCACCACCACCTCCTGTTAGCCATGCAGTGGGAGAAGCTGCTTCCCACTTACCTGCAACTGAGAAAACTATTCTAGTTACTGAAGGCATGATACCGGTGGATCAGTTGAAGGACTACATAATGGGGGCTATAAGGGCAAATTAGATAAAGGCCAACCTTCATATTCCTATGCTAAGCCCTACACAAAGAATTGAGGAGTTGAAAATGCCTTACGGCTATCAACCCCCTAAGTTCCAGCAATTCGATAACAAGGGAAACCCTCGACAGCACATTGCCCACTTTGTGGAAACATGCAATGATGCAGCGACTCACGGCGATCTGTTGGTAAAGCAGTTTGTCCGTTCATTAAAGGGAACTGCGTTTGATTGGTACACTGACCTCAAGCCCGGCTGCATTTATAGCTGGCATGACATGGAACGTGAGTTCTTAACCCGCTTCTATAGTACAAGGAGAACAGTTAGCTTCTTGGAACTCACCACTACTCGCCAATGGAAGGGCGAACGTGCCGGTGCCTACGTCGAAAGATGGAGGGAACTATGTCTGAATCGCAACGAAAGAATATCCCAAAGTTCTGCAATTGAGATGTGCATCCAAGGCATGCACTTTGAACTCTCCTATATCCTGCAAGGAATTAAGCCAAAGACCTTTGAAGAGTTGTCCAGTCGCGCTCATGACATGGAGTTGAGCATCGAAGCAAGCGGAGGGCTCAACATATTGAACTTGCCTAGCTCCTCCAAGGCTCTTGGAAAACAAGAAGTTAAAAAAGTAAACAAACCATTTCCAAAGAAAGAAAAGAAAGAAGTGATGAATGTGAAGGCTACACTAATGACAGTCTTTACTAAGGCAACTGAAAGGCCTATGCCAAGATCATTTTATGCCCCGTCAAGGGATGGTAGAAGGCTGACGATTGAAGAAAGGCAGGAGAAGACTTATCCTTTCATGGATTCTAACATATCTCCCATGTTCGATGAGCTACTCAAACTTAGGCTCATTGAGTTGCCTGAAATGAAACGCCTCGAGGAAGTTTCAAGGGTGGATGATCCAAACTATTGCAAGTACCATCGTCTTCTTGGTCATCCGATTGAGAGCTGCTTCATCTTCAAGGATAAAGTTATGGCATTGGCCAGAGACGGGAAAATTGAGCTTGCTGATGCTAACGCAAGCTCAAATCAAATCTCGATTACACTCGGACGGTTCGCTCCGTTGTGTACTGAAAAGGAAGATGGGAAACAACGAAAGCGTCCACTCCCCTTCATTGTTAAGCATGTTGTTGGTCAAAGTTCAAAACCATAGGAAAATGCTAGCACATATGTAGGGAAATGGGTGATAGTCACTCATCGAAAGAAGAAAGTTAAGCCTGAGAGATGTCCCAAACACGCGGTGAAAAATTGGGTTGAGAAAACCTCAACAAATGCCCATGCCCGCAGATCAAAGACGAAAGGGCATGTCAAGCAGCCACGCGCACTAGTTCCTTTGGCTCAATATATGCCAAAAAGATTTAATCTTCAAGGGACAGACATTGCTAGGTCCTGCCTAAATACAAATGACTTATGGAGAAGAATGTTCATCTCCTAAACACATCGGGGATGGGGAAGTACAAATGCATATGGCTACTTCCTACTCCACAGAAATTACCTTCAAGGATGAAGATTTGTTACTTGGAGGCACGCTACACAATCGCCCACTATTTGTGAAGGTTATACGCGTGGACAAAAGCTCAAAATAATTATGGTTGATCAAGGCTCAGCTATCAACTTCCTATCCCTTCGAGCTGGTGTGTCTACAGATGAGCTTGCCCAAAGTCGTTTAATGATACAAGGCTTCAACTAAGGAGGGCAAAGAGCAATTGGCATCATCAGACTTGACTTAAGAATTGGAAGTCTGAGTTCAGGTGTCCTCTGCCATGTCATAGATGCGGGGACATCTTATAACATGTTACTTTGGAGGTTGTGGATACTTGAAAATGAGGTGGTACCTTCATCTTGACATCAATGCCTCATGTTTGAAAAGAACAATGTGGTTGAAAAGGTAATCGTCGATGAAAGACCTTTCACAGAGGCCGATGAAAGCCCTATGTATGTACACAGTATACATATGTTTGCTTTTTTCCGTGTCTGATGCCCCTTTTTCGTCACCTTGCGTGTGAGTACATATATATAATATATACACATACATGGTCCACTAGTGTTTGCTTTAATCTATGGATACATATATGATATATAATATATATATGGTTGTTTTGGGCAGTGTGTAACTTCTATGTATGAACACATATATGTGCAGCATGTGAGTTGTGAATTCATTTTAAACATATCTTTCATTTTCTCTTTTATTATCATGCCCATTTGCTTCATAGATTTTGTGTGTATATGTATACACGTACATAATATATATAATGTATACACATGCATAATTAATGCTTGCTTTATATATGTGGGCATATATATCCACGTACATAATATATACTATATATCCACATATACTATATATAAACATGCACAATTAATGCTTGCTTGTGTATACATATATATAACATATGTAGCATAGGCATTTTGTGGCAATATGTTTTTTTTAGCCTTTTCAGAAATGTCTTTTCTTGCTTTATAAATTGTTGACACTTTTGGACTTGGCCTCTTGATTCTTAATGCAGCTTTATATAGCGAGAACCATTTTTAAACAATGGTAGTGTTTTGGAAAATTGTGGGAGTCGATCAGAAAAGGAGGCTCAAAGTATCAAGTGATAAGACCAGAAAAGACAGTACGACATTCATCATCTACCTACCGATGACTGCAAGAATCCTTCCTACCCGACACTGCCTTATCGAGTGGAGGATTGGATTCGTGACACTGAAACCTAACCATCCAAAACATGGGTTCTAAGAATCGGGCTAGGTCATGTGGAATACTCAGACACACTCCCGATCTTAGGAAGACGGATACTTGAAGGTGAGACTTCATGGAACCAACATCCCAGCTTTAGAGGCGAGTTTAGCTTCACAACGGGATATTGGGAATGGACTGATACAATACTCAGTATGCACCGTCAATTCCTGGAGGCCATGACGATCTACGACGGCATATACGCCTTGTTGTTCACATATGACCGCTCAATGCCTATCATGCAAGCGTCCTGCGAAGCATGGTACCCCATGACCAATACATTGCTTACATCGCTCGGTGAGCTTTCCATCTCACTTTGGGATCTGCATGTTCTTTGTGGATTATTGATATCTGGCGATATTTACGATAAGTACGTCCCAGCCGCATCAGAGTTAATAGGGGAAGATGTCGACCCTAACTCCACTTCTAAAAGTTGTAAGTATTTGTTCCAAGCGTATTGCTACCTTGGTAACCGAAATAGGCAACGAGGTGGCCGTCGCGGGCAAAAGGATAATGACCACTTAGTTCACGTTGTCGATTGGATAGAATTCTAAAGTAGAAGACTGCCCGTTTATGATAGGCCACTGCCAAGAAAAGAGGATAAGAGAAAAACCTGTCCAAAGAACACCCAAAATCCAAGTGGCAAGATCCTAGCACTCAAGGGTTAGACTAAAACGAACTAAGCACCCTTTGCTGAGCTAGAAATTCCCCCTGAATATGAAAAGGATACTCACTTAGCAGCATACTTGAGTTGTTGGTTGTGCGTGTTAATGCTGCCCATCAAAGTGACGCGAGTCATTCGCTTTCAGACATTCAAAATGGTTAGCCTGATGGCGACGGGCAGAACACTGAACCTTGGGATCCATGTGCTTGCGAGCATTTACAGTGGACTGAACGTGATATCCCAATCTAGTACCCCGGGGTTAGCTGATAGTTGTTTCCCCATCCACTATGTGTATGGATGGTTGTCGTTTTATTTCGACACTCGTTTCGCAAATGACCTCACGTCCGCTTCTCCGTTTGATGATCACCTACTTGGGGGAGGGTGGTGCGAGATATTACGGACAGGTAGAGGCTCACCGCAAGATTTTCATAGCCGACATTCCCAATTGGCGTTGTACGACACGCCGCCTAACGAAGGATCTCCACTTCCTTGATGATGGGAATGCCCACAACACCGACAATGAGTACATCATGTGTTTCCGTTCTAACTACCTCGTATTACAAAGGGCAAATGTATGTATCGCCGCGCCTTACACTCCTCATCGATTTCGACAATTTGGGTACTATCAGGATGGCGGTTCTGGCATATTAAGCAACGACGAACGTAGAGTCACGCTTTCGGAAGGCTTTCAGCGTTGGCGCCATTTTACACTTAGGGACTTGGGGTCGCGAGTGACATTTTCCACAACTTGAGTCACTGTCACCACGAAGAAGTACTTCTCTCAGAGTTATAAGGATTGGTGGGCCCAAGTCTATGTGGACTACCTTGAGCGCCACATTAAGGATTTAGTTCATGAGTATCCAGTCGACATGTAGTAGGAAGCCGACACAACCAAGAAACGCAAACACCCAGTACAGGAAGATGAACCACCACCCAAGAAGAGAAAGGAGAACACTATTTTAAAAAAGAAAGTTGATGTGGCATGACCGAACTCGGGTGATGAAGAAAGCCGCGACCGTCACTGGAAACGGTGAAGGGATAGATGTTCCCCTTCTCCAGTAGAGGTAAATATCTATTTCCCTCGCCTATCCCAATTATTGTTGGTAGCATCTATTTTACCATCTGTTTACTAATTGACAGGACAATGTAGCGATACTTGTCAGTGGGGAGGCTGAGTCATCGAATAAGAGGGTGACTGCAAGCCATACTGGAGAAAGTGAACACTCAAACAATGCCCCAACATTGAACTCGCACCAGTCAGGGAATTCCTTCGACAAGCCACACATGGATCAGCAAGATAGACTAGAGGTTTATATCTTTGATGGAAAAGACCTCGTGGTGGAAGAATTTAGGGTGGTTGTCATAAATGTCTGGAACAAACTTGGTGGAAAATTGGACAAAACCTCGGTAGAGCATATTTCACCTTTGCACGAGACCTTTATGAATGCCTTTGCAAATTTGCAAAAGTTAGAAATTGACATCTCTCCATTGGAAAAACGGGTTGAAGAGATTTTCACATAGGCTCAAGCTTTTGATAACTTAAGGTCCACAATTTCCGACAAAACATCGAGCGAGTCCCAGTCTCTATCTTAGGCGAAGAATGAACTCAAGAATGCTCAAGACAAATTTGGGAGACTTAAGAAAGATCTATTGGACCAACATAAGTTACTTAAGACTGTAAAAGATAGGGTGGGGGAATTGGAGAAAGAGTTGAAGTTAGTTCGTTCCAAAGTGGAGGACTGCGACACTGTGATTGCCAAAATTACAGACGACTTGGGCAAGGCTAAGACTTCCGTTTCAGAGACTGAGGCAGAAGTCATAACAAAAAACAAACACAATTCATGTTGGAAGTGGTGTATCAAGACATCATTCAACAGGTCAAAGCAAAGGTGTATGAGTGATTGCTAGATGTTAAGCACAAAAATGAGAAGCATTCCATTATCAACAGTGAATAAAAGAAATAACAAAAAGTCTTGCTACCAAAAAGAGAAGATATAGGAAAAAAGAACATTAGTTAACAAAAAGCCTAAAGATAAGCATATAGTCTTTGCAAGCTTCTAATCCTCTTTTTGCCTCTTTCAGTCTCGTCTCGTCTTCTGGCGTTAATACAGTCAATAGCCTCTGAAACGGAAGTCTTAACCTTGCCCAAGTCGTCTGTAATTCTGGCAATCACAG